CCTGACAAAAGATGACAATATTATACCTTGCGAGGTGTTCTCATCCCAAATAAAGAAATATAATTCCACAGGTATAAGTTATAATATGAGTTATAGAGGTTGTGTGAAATCTTCATTAATAGCAAGTCTTAAGTTAGGCAAGGCTTTTGGACAGGGACTGTTTAGCCATATATTTAATTGCTGTGCTGAATCTGTGCTTGTATTTGACAGTTGACATATTGTCATCGTTTTTAGAGCTCAATATAAAACTCTCGCATATAATAAAAACACATCCAGAATCCTTACTGGGGCTGCTAAATACTACTGCAACACACATGTTGAATAGTAAGAATAGATAATAATGCATCAAGAGAGCATCCAGTAACAAAAGGCCCTTTAGAGTACTAATTAAAATTAGACATAAAAGTAAAATACGGCAGGCTTATCCATTATTTCCATTTGGAAATCTCAGCTACTTCACCTTAGAAGGTAAAATACTATTATCCATTTCAGCTGACTGGGAAACAGAACAAAAGGAAGATCATCAGATTATCCAAAATCACAAAGATGGTGAATAAGGAGCCCTCTCATTTCCCAACTCCCGTTTCAATGAACAGTGCTATCCTCATCTGTCTCATTAATAATTATTTCCAGTTCAGAAGAACTAAAGCCCAGCTCTACAGAAGGAGGCTGGGCATGGCGAAAATAAATTCCCCATCTCTCCCACCTACCATCTAACCTGCAATGTGGAGTTGAACGTCGCTGTGATTGGGACATTCATGGCCCCAAACTTCCCTTCTAAACTTGGACTAGGGGTTGACCTGAGTCTTTTAATAAAACTCCATCAGTGAGAACACTTAGTCTGGAGGGAAGGGTTCTCATCTCCGGCTGGATGGGGTGAAACTCATGCCTTCTCTTTCTGAGGAGAAATGATCTAATCACAAACTGATCATCTGTGCTGTTTGAGGAATCTTACTCTAGATGTCTCCCACTCAAGCTGTCCTATCCTGAAGTGACGAGCTGATTAGACAGTAAACCAGATGGTGCCTGACTTTACAGCCCTGTGGTGAGGACATGCCCTGGACAAGGGCCGTCCTGCAGTCTGCTTTTCTCTCTCTGTAACCATTTTGCTTTGAGGAGTCACTGCACAGAAGATGGACTCTACCCCACCATGGGTATTGTTCTCCACTGGACTGGTATCACTTTGGAACCCCAGGTGGGTCTAGTGACACTCTGTACCTGCTCTCGTTGCTGAGGTGTCCTCATCAGCAGCCTCACATGCCCACAGAGCAATAAGGATTTGGACTCAGGGAGTGCTTTTATGGCTGCAATTTTAAAACCACGCGCAACTCTATTGGTTTCCTTTATTTACACTCTGTTCTCATTATCTGGGCAAGTTACTGTACAGTTAAAGCCAAAAAAATAAACCAAGAAAGATAAGAAGCTGAAAGTTATGATCATTCATGTGCTCCTTTCATGGCAAGGCACATGTGAAGTAGGTGAGAGGACAAATAATAAGCACAACGAAAGCTGCAGTGGCAGCCTTGGTTTTAAATTTTCCGTAGATTGCAAATCTGTGCCATACATTGTTTTTATTTGAAATAGTATTTATGTAGAAATCAATGCTTAATTATGAGAAATGTAGTTTGTAATTATTATGGCAAGTTGTTATTTACATATTTACCAGAAAGATGAGGAGACCTGTTTAAAGTATCCTTAATGTTATTAAATTTCAGAATATTCTTTATATATGCACAGTTCCAAGGGCAATCAGGAGGAACAACTAGTTTTTGTAGGGGGTTTGTGTGTGTGTGTGTGTATGTATTTGTGTATAGAGGCACGGTTAATTCCATAATGTATCCAAAATTTGTGTAACTTAGCACAGTAAAAATAGATATATTCTCTCACTCACTTCCTCTCATCCTCAGTGTTCACCTGGAAGACTATAAGAATACAAAACATAATTACATTAGTCCACCCAAGGGAAGCAGACACCTTCAGCAAATAATTTCTAACATTTCTTTCAAGTTATTTCAAGAGGAGAGTTTTGTACAATGAGAACCAGTGTGACTAAATGCTGATTTTTCATAGACCCTGAGGGCTAAATTTATCTCTCGTTGAAGTCAATGGGAATCTTTCCATTGACGTAAATAACAGTTGGATCAGGTCTTAGTGGTTTCATCGGTGATAATTTTTTTACATGTAAAAACATTGATGAAGTTCAGAATGAACCTGTAACTGATCTCAAACAAAATCTGGTATGTTTTCACAAGGTAGAAAGAATGGGAAGAGGGAGATGAAGGGGAGGATCTGTGAAGACGGAGTTTTTCTTGCCGTTAAATGGATAGGACAGTAAACACACCATGAAGGAGATATAACTTACACTTGCCTGAGGGAAATTAATATATCTGGTCTATCATTTTGCTTGTTCAGTGGAACCAGTGGGTTTATTTATGCAGTCTAGTTTAAGATGTGATTCTTCTGTATGTGGGATCTCTTTTCCTTTTTGTTTATTATCTGGATGTATCCAAAGAGATCAGAAATTTTAATTGCAGGTTATTGTGCTTGGCCAACTTCTATGCTGGTGTGCAAAGTCCATCTGATAAAAAAACCTTCAAAGGCTTCAGCAAAAGGGAACTAAAGATACAGTTGACTAGACCAGTGTCAGGACTGTCTCTAAGCTAGAGAGACGGGATGTTTGTGTAACTTGCCCCTCCACCCCGTGCTCCCAAAGCCCTGTGTATAATAATGACTGACAACCTTGTGGTTCACTAATTTAGTAAAGCTCTGCTAAAATTCATGGTAATTTTGGGCACTGGAATCTGGTCCTGAAATGTACATCTTGTTGCATCCAGAGGTAATTTTGTTATCAGCCCCTCCATCTTAATAAGGGAGAAGCAAAAAGTAAAATGACAGGAAGCAAAAGAGAAAATTAAAATGACTCATTTAAGCTTAGGAAGCTTCTGGGCAGGAGCAGAAGGACCAATGGGAGAAAAATTGCTGGAAAAAAAAGGAACAGAAAGGGGGATGATGAAATCCAGGGATACGGGGAGGGAAAAGAGAGAAGTGAGAAGAGAAGAAACAGGGAAGTGGCAAAATAAAACGAGAAGCTGCTGTTTTAAGGAAACGGGAAAGGTGGCTATTACTGAAACAAAGCAAAAGACAGGACAGAATGGGATTTTAAATGGAGAGAATAAATGAATGGATTTAGAGGGATTGTGATGGGAAAGGGCACTAAGAAAAGAAAAGTAAGCTGAGGAGAGAAAAGCAAGAAATAAATTAATTTCGTCTTCAATGTTAAAGAATAAAAGAAGTTAAAATAGAGCACTTATTTTCCTCCACAAGACGTATAATTGTCTGCTTGAGTGGTATTAAATGTAGGACAGTAGCAGGGTTTGCCATACAGTCTCTGTGAGAGTCTATCCTCTAACCTGTGGGTTTTTTTAACTCCCTTCCGTTTTTGGACCTTTTAATTTCATAGAGATCCAACCCTTCCAGAGTGAATTTTATCCTCACTACTGTAGGTTTGGTGGTTTTTAATTCACTTTTTGGGGAAACATTTGGAAGTAGCCCACAGATGCCCAAGGGGTCCCTAGACAGCATCTGGAAAGACCTTGAATGGGTGGAGATGGCTGATGCTACTTCTACTGCAGATTGCTCCCGTGGTTCAGGAAGCAGCAACCTACACCTTGGAAAAACTAGTCCCAGGTTTCAACTCTGGTGTTAGTCCAGTCAGATGAGAAAATGATCTCAAAATTAGTTCATGTTTTGGGGAACGGGGGAGTCTTACCACATAGATTCAGACCTGAATGTACCACATAGCAAAATTCATGATGAAGGTTAAGTCCCATCATAAAAACAGAGAATAATTTTTTAGGCAGAATCAGAAAACCTGATTCTGGGCTAATTTTACCACATGATTACTCTGAATTCAGGCAACCTCTTTCTCTTACATGTGCTGTGCAGGGAAAAATTTGACCTGTCAGGGTTACAGTAATTTCAAAACTTAACACAATTAAAACCACAAAACACACATAGAGACAGGTTTTACTCAGGTTATCACTAGAAATTTCATTTATTTGTGTCTCATTATATTTTCACTAGACCAAATAGGTTTAATGGAACTGCATGACCATAAACCAATATAGGATCTGGATGGGACATGGGAGTTTTAATTGTGTTACTCTGACTGATATCCTGCAGTGGCATAAATGTTAAGACAGGCGAAAGCTACTGCTGTAAGGATGGGAGTCTGTTCCTCTGTATAACGATGTCTATAGCTCTGTTTAGCAAGGAGATAGCCATGTTTTAGTTTTAATCAAATATCTACTGTGTATGAAGTAGTGTCAAGGGATATGGAGGCAGGATTTGGCCAGAAAAAGGTAAAGGAAAGAATTGTTCCCTCTACGCTGGAGAGTCCTGGAGGGCTGCAGGGACCACACCATGAGGTGGTATTCAGTCTAATTTCTCTGAAGAGGGAGAAGAACTCAATACATGTCAGTCTGGGTGATGAGGTGCTGTACCTGGCTTAAGGGAAAACAGAAATTATGCACATGAATGTTACCTCTGTTAAAAGAGTGCTGTTTCAGGGGAGCTGTTCCCTGCAGTTTATGACAAAAGAGAAAAATGAATTGGAAAAGGACTGATAAATGTTCAGAGGGAGGCAAATGAAAGATATTTTATGAGATGGAAAACTAAATTGGCAAGAACATCAGAGCATCTGGTGGCTGTACTAGGTTTTACTTTAACTTCCTAATAGTCTTAATTATTAATTAATTTTTTTTTTTTAACTGGAGTGTGATCCTGTGTCTTTCCTGAGATCAATCTAGCTTTGGTTTTAAAAGGGAGCAGAATAAAACCTGTATGACACAATGGAACTGGGTTTATTTTTCATTGTGGTTTCGTTTTCTTTTTTTCACTGAAGAATTTCAAGCCAGGACATGTTTCAGTGGCCTAATCTTAAATGCACACGGGAACAGTTTCTATGTTTGCTTTGCAGGGAGGAGCTGGCTTACTTCAAGAGAAGTTCAAGAATGAACACAACTGGTTTGCTGTCAGTTTTTAGTACTGGCTGCAGCTCATGGGCAATAATGGCACCAGCAGTGGTGAAGCAGCATTGTATAGCAAACAAGTAGACCTCAGTGACCCTCAGCAACAGGATAACAACACTTGGATTTCCAAGGTACTTCTACCCACACAGAAGGAGGGAATTGCTTTTTTTTCCCTTCTTCATTATTCTGCAACATTACTCTGCTTATCTTGAAATACTTTAAATAAATACCCACTTCTGACACAGCTAGCTAAATAAGGACAGACAGTTGCTAAATCTCTGTCATAATTACAGCAGGCACCTGTTCATGGCCACTAAAACCGATGTTGCTAACACGTTTCCACAATAACTTCATGCTCAAAATTTTCCAAACAACTATCTTTTGGGAAGAAATTTTCCACATTTGGCCTCTGCTTGAGAGGAAATATTTTTTTCTTCGAGGCTTGAGAAAAATGATGCCAGCTGTTCTTGAGCACAGCATGAATTATAAAGTTATGCCCCTGAAGTAAAAAACTTCCCAGGCTGGACCAAGCTGAAATATAAAGCTTGCTCTAGACCCTTCTGAAGAGCAAACTTTTTGCTTAGTGTTATACTAGATGTTGATTTACCTAGATTAATAAAGATAAGGCAACAAATATGTTTTGAAATAGCTGAGAATGATTTATCTACAGGTGAGTGAAAAAGAAAAGCTTGCAGCTCAAACGAGCTGTAAATGGAGAGCTGCCAGGTGGGTCAGAGGAGTTCACTCCTGCCCTCACCAAGTGCACTTCATTGTTTGAGGAGAACAGGGTGCGACTGCACCTTCCACAGGAGGGAAGCCAACGTCACTACTTCAGACTCCTTCCCCTCTCCACCAGATTATTTTTTTTCAAAAGCAGGCAGTTAAATATAAAATAGGAGTGTTAAATTTGCAAAGTTGAGCATGCTGGCACTGGGGCATTTAAAAAGCTAAGTTTACTACTCCTGTCTGTGTGACCAATATATACCTGTATATGTATATACATATACATCTAGGCAATCAAATGGACAGAGAGACTTTGAAACTCGTATTAGAACTTTATATCCTTGACAAAATGCTCGAAGTAATCAAAATGTCCCAGAATATACCACTTGAATCATATTACCTATTATGAAAACTGATACACTGAACATTATAAAATTAATTAACAGGTTGGAGCACTTAATTGGGATATACATTTTAGATATGAAGGTATACATTTTATATTGGTTTAGTTAGAATATCCTTAAGCATGGAATACCCTGGTTTTTCCATGCCAAGTACAGAGACTTGAAGACTGTCTTAATAACAAGTTTGTATGTATTATATATGGAATATTATTGTACTGGATAACACTGTACGTCTGTCTTTGGAAGTTTTCTGTCTCTCCTGGATAAATGGTTTGGGGTTTTTTTGACACATTTTCTAGCACTTTGGGGGCTGTTAAAAGGCAATTTCTGTCTTTTAACAAACCAGGGGAAAAAAAAAGAAGAACTAAACAAAACCCCCTTCACCACAGTCACAACCATATTTCTTTCTCTTCTATAGCAACTCCTTGTTTTTTCATGAAATCGTAAGGAAATCGTGTGCTCTGTGTTTTAAGAAAAGTTTAAAAAAACCCCAACAAAACAAACAAAACCCCCAAAGCATTATTTTAAGCTTTCTATAATTTCATTAAACGGGTCTTTCCTCCTCACGGTAAAAAGCCTTCTTCTTCATATGAAATGAACTTCTAGCTGTCATGTCAAGTAGCACGGAGCGCGGGGGGAGGGAGGATTGCAAGAACGGACGGGGTGTTAAGCAGTTTTTTCCTGTAGAAAACGATCACAGTTTTCAGTCCTTTCGAAAACTACACAGTCACCCCTTCTTTTTTCTTTTCCTTTTCCTTTATTTTTTTCTTTTTTCTTTTTTTTTTTTTTTCCGTGACAAAGACTTTGATTTATTCTCAGAGACAAAACGGCCCCGAGAAAGAAACTCCCGGAGCCTTAATTAAAAAAAGAAAGAAAGAAAGAAAAATAAATAGAAAAAGAAAAAAAAAAAAGGAGGGGGGTGGGCATGGAGAAGGGAAGGAGAATAGGGTCTGTCCGGGTGCCGATGATCTCCCTGGGAGAGCCGCGATGCCGCCCGGCACGGCTCAGCGCGGCTGTCCCGCTCCGTGCCGTGCCGAGTCGTGCCGGCGGGGAAGCCTTGCATCACCGCCACGGGCTCCGCTTCCCTCCTCCCTCTCTTTCGGAGAGGCTATTAATAGCATGACATCAGCCAGGGACTCGCCGCCAGAGTAAATACCAGCGCTGCCCGCTCGGCTATATAAGGGGGGTGATGCAACCGAGGCGAGCGGCAGAGGAGCGGGGAGCGGAGCGAGCGGCTCTCCCGGAGGAGGCGGCGGAGAAGCGGGGACAGCCGCCGGGACGGCAGCGCGGCGGGGCGAGCGCGGAGCCTCTTCCCTCCGGCCGGGAAAGCGGCAGCAGCGGGAGGAAGGTAGGTAGAAGCGCGAAGGGAGTCGCCGAGACCCCCCGTGCCGGCGGGACGAGGGGCTGAGCTCCGTGGGAGCTTGTGCCGCCGCGGAGAGATGCCCGCCGGGGGTTCCGCGGGCCGCCGCCGGGAAAAGTTTCGCCGCCCCCGGCGAAGTCGGGCGCGGCGGTGCCGCCGCCCGCCGAGATCCCTGGGAAAGCCCTTGGCCCCGCCGAACCTCCCCCGGAGCCCCTCGCCCGCCCGCCGGTGGCGGCTCGCTCCTGGCGCCCACATCTGGGGGAACCCCCTGCCCGGGCTGCCGCCAGATGTGAGCACCGGGAGGAGCCCGCCGAGCCCCGGCTCATCCCGGGCCGGCAGCGCCTCTCGGCACCGCGCGGTGGCGGCCTCGGCGGAGGGACGGCGCGGGCCCCGGGACCGGGATCGGGACGGGGATCGCCGGGATGCCGGAGCGCGGCGGGGGCGGCAGCCGTCGGTGGCACCGCGGGGACCGCGGGCACCGGGGCTGGGAAGCTGCCCCGGGACGGCCAAGGCGATGAGAAACCCCGCACTGCCGCGCGTAGGTTTATCTATGATATTCACATAAACCGAGGGGGAACTCCATCTGCGAGCCGGGCATATTCACTTTCCTTTCTGTCCCGGTCTTGACATGAAGTAGATCAGTTGCTAAACTGTTGCTTAACCAAATCAGGCGTGACACAACAGCAAACTTGTTTCAGAGAAGGAGTTTCCTCTTGGAAATCAATTTTCTTCCTAATAACAGCATTTGAGAAGCTGGAAGGCAGCAGAAAATGGTTCGAGAGTGATGTGGGATGTCAGAAAGCTTAAGGTCAACTAGCGTGCACAGAGGTTGTGAACTGTAATTGCTCTTAATGCTGTTTAAGATTAACCTCAGTGGTTATCAGGGTTTATTGCATCAGCACCAGAGGAAAAGGAATTCACATGAAGAAATAAAACCAAGAGGCACAGCCAACCATCTGCAGTTAAGCAAAGAAAGGACTGAAAGTAGTCACTTTTATTATTATTATTAAACAAGAATACCCTTAAATAGTAGAAATGCACAGCTAGGAAGTATGTGTCAATTTAAAAATATTGGCAGATGAGATGCAAAAGCTCACTGTGGATGGAAAGAATCATCAGCAGAAGAACAAACAAGTAGCAAAGGGAGAATGAATTAATAAAGTTGCTTGAGTCCACCTGAATTGGGAGGGTACTATGCATAGAAAAACTGTTCTCTTTGGAGAATTCCAAAACTGAGGATAAAGTAATGAAGCATTAACTCACCCTGGGAACAAGTTGTACTCTTACAGTGCAGGTCTGCACTGCACAGTAATGTTCAGCACCTTCAATGTCAGTAACTTCAGGAGTACTGAAAGCAGCCTGGAGCACAAGTCCATGTGCATGGTCTAACAAAGTAAACACAGATTGTATCAGAAAGGCCATGATATAATCACATTTTAAGGCTTGATATTGTTATTCCTACTGGTTCCCCAGCCCTTACAAATCCAGAGAAAATGAGATAGTGCTCCTGGTGGCTTATAGACAGAGGTACAATTTGTACTAAAATCGAGAAAAGGAAGGACAACCTGTTGCATTCTTTACAATAGTCAAATCTAATTTTTCTTCTTCTAAAACATTCCTAAAAGCAGATTGGTTCCTCAGAATCTGGAAAACATCTACCTTGTTGTTATGAAAAGGGAATCTATTCAGTTTACTGAAGAGTTTTTACAGAAGGCTGACTACTTCTGTTGTTTGTGTCGTGGTGGCTCCTAACAATCCCAGTGGTAGACTGGAAGCCTACCCTACCAAGTCCTGCCCTAAGGAAGAGCCCCAGGAAAGAAAACCAGTAGCAAACAGCTCTGCAAAATGGGACTCAGCTCACAGCAGAAATCCTTTCACAAGCCTCAGCCCCCTGGTAGGCCTTCCCTTCCCTAAAGTCTGAGCAATTGGAGGTACCTTTCAGGATGTTTGGGAGGTCAGTGAGCTGTTTGGGCAGCAGAGCAGCAAGTTTCTACAGTAAAGGACATTTTCTCCTGCTCTGGGCACCCTACCACCCCTCTTTTTCACACTAGCAACTGATAGATGAGAGGGCCTGAAGCCATTATAGCAGGGTTTTGTTGGTGCTCAGGATACGCTTAGCACTAACTAGTAGAAATCCACAATTAACACAATTTCTCAGGCACAAACATTCTTGGTTTCCTCTGGTGCTGCTGCTGACCTTAATTAAAAGTTCACCTAAACTGTAAAATAATTGAATAAAACACCAGAGCTCAAAAATTATTCACTCAACTAATTATTTTGTAGGCTGGAGAAACAGTTTTACTGTTAATTTAAGACTCCTGGTTAGATTAAATTATATATAATTAACTTTGTTGAATGAAGCCATCATCAGCATTCAAGGAGACAGATTCAGTGAAAATAGCTGAAATTTCTCCTAGCAGTGAGGGGTTCAGTGTCATCCAGAATTAGCCTGTTTAAATTAGCTGAATGGTTGAATGTTGGTAAATGGTAAATAATACTGGGAGGACTTCAGCTGGAAATTATAGGGCCATTTCTGACTTGTTGGAAAAGCGCAACTGCTAGCCTTCTGAGATTATAGGATTAAATTGTATCACTACTTTAAATGTGACTCATGAGCAGGGGCTTTCTGAAGAGAATTACATAAATTTCCCAAGGTCTTTCTGAATAACAAATTTTTCCAAATAATTTCCCCATCTTTAATAACTGTGGGTGAAATCCTGGCTCCATTGAGGTCAACAGAAAAAGTCCTCTTGATTGCAGTGGAGTCAGGATTTCACCCCCAGACTCTGGGAAATGCTCAGATCTTTTGTGGTGACTGGGTGAGGAAGAAGTGAGGAAGATTGCAGCTGAACATGGTATTTTCTACCAACAGGCAATTCACTGTCCTCAGATTTTTATATTTACCTCACTTAGCGATGAACCAGATTCTATTCTCATTTGCACCAGTGTGGATTTACAGTGTATTTTTAGATATCTCTGGGCAAAATCTATCTTCTTCACATGACCCCAAACATTTCTTGCTGTGTTGCTGAAGTAACATATGGGGAACTGTGCAATTCTGGGTTGACCACGTGGAAATTTAGCTTACCCACAGTGCTACCCCAAGGCAACTATTTGCTTACCTAAACTAAGTTAATTATAATTGACTTTGCTATAATTATTATAGTTCTAGACCAGAGTAGATAACACATATTGTAATTATCCATACAGCTATTAAAAACAAAAAAACCAAACCCCAACCAAAACCTACACACCAAAGAAAGCTTGAAAACCAACACAGTAAAATCCAATTTAACACAAGTAGCTTTATGAACAAGGAAAGTATTAAAATCTGTTTTCCTATGGATTTGCAGCTTTTATCCATTGAACCACCCATGAAAGGTGCTCAGTTTTCTTCCAGATCTCTTATCTCACCTCTACTGGGTGAGAGATGGATTGTGACATGCAGAGATGTATGCATCAGCTAGCCCACTGTGTTTGAATGACTGACTGCAGAGTTTTGTCTCTTTCCCCCTCAGTGGGGTCACCAATTTTCACAAAGCACGTAGGGGACCTCTCTCCCTCCAAAACTGGCTAAAAAATAAGAGTGACTAAAAAGAGAAAAGTAGAGAGCACTGTTGGGTAAGTTTGTTTCTTAAGAAACCTACTAGAGTTGAGGTTTACATTTGCATAATTCCCCTGAAGTCTCTTCAATCACACTGTTTTATATCAGCAAAAGATTCGGCCATAAATATTTAAGAATTTCAAGACTCCCATAGAGGGCACATGAGGACAGTTTCGAATTTTACAAGAGCAAAGGAATGAAACAAACGGCTTCACATTTTTCATGAGTCAATCCCTCCAACTCGGTCTGTGCTTTGGAGCTCCAGAGCATGTATAGACTCTTACTTCTGTGCCAGCTCTTATCATTAACCATTTTTCAGGAGTTTAGGGCCATATCTACAACTGTATGTAAGACTTAAGTGTGACGATTTTGTGACAGATCCTATCGTGATTAGCAGACTTCAGCTCCTAGTAGAACTCGTTGAGCTTTACCTAAATGTAGTCAAGATAAAGGTGTGCTCTGTCCATTTGAAGCTGGAATTTGTGGTGGTATAGCTCTGAGGATGAAGATACTCTTACTTTCTGTCTGTGCCTTAAATAATAATAATACTTTTTTGCTTTCTGATTTTTGTTCTTATTTTCTTTCTCTTTCTATTCACTCTATTATCATTTGCCACACATTACCAATTTAAAACTTAACAGTATACATACTTACACAGTTTTTTGAATATTAAGTTTCAGAAAGACCTAGAAATTGTGTCTCGTGCTAGTGTTGTTCTTACTTTTAAATACTAACTTTGAGTTAACTTGAAGTTTTCACTAGTGACCAAATGCTTAACTGCTTGTCTCTAGTGAGAGATTGGGGTACATGGGGAAGGGGGACTGAAGCAATGTAAGAACTACAGTATTATTCACAGTATGAAATTTACCTCTAAGAAATATTTACCTTTCTGAAGTTGTTAAAAGACTATTATTATTATCTCTTTTTATCTTTCAGCAAAATGATGGTCCAACACTCAGGCCAGGTATCTGCATTAGAAGTCAGCGCCTCCGCAATTGTTCCCACTTTGTCCCCTGCAGGGTCACTGGGGTTTGATGATTTCACAAATTTAACCCCACTGGTGAAAGAGGAACTGAGGTTTGCCATTCAGAATAAGCGTCAGTTCCACAGGATGTCTTCTTCATTGGACACGGTGACGGTTTCTGAAAGGCCAGTTGAAACAGCAATGATGAAAACAGAGGTATGGCTCTTTAAATAGAATTCCAGTGTGAATGATTAATTCTCTAGTGAAGTTTCATCACAAGACCAGTAACTATAGACAACCCTCTCTGCCATACTTGATTCTTTCAAGCATGCTGCTTGGCTTTCTGTTAAATGCTTTTGGGAAAACCTTTGATATTTCGCATAGCTGGATATTTAATTTTTTATTATCATCTAAGGACAGTGTTTTACAATTATTAGAACAAGCGCTAATCTGGTTTCCCTGCCTACTTGTGGCTGAACTTGGAATAAGTCACTGCTGAAGTTCTATTTCACTAAAGACAGTCCAGCAGGACCCACAGGGACTAGACTAAGTGGGACTAGCTGTGCTATGTCCAAACTGGGTTTTTACTTTAAGATAATACTCCCACTGAAAAACATTTCTCTTTAGAAGTGGATAAGTAGCTTAAGTTAGAGAAACAGCTCCACCTTGGTCTGAGCCTCCCCAGGAAACAAAACAAAGCTTGAAGAAGTGTGTTAATATCTCCTTCTCAGTGCTGCCTTTAGTTTCACTCACTCTCGCTGCCTCATTCATGACACATCCTCCACTCTGCTCCTCATGCTCCTTGCTCCTTTTCCTCTCCTGGAGGTGTGGGAGTCAGTCTGGGGAGACATTCAATGAGGGTTTTTTGAGTACTTTTGGTTTAAAATGAGCCATCACATGGATTACATACATCCAAACTCCAGCCAGGTTTTAACTGACAATTCTAATGAGGTTACTACCCTTATACTGTATGGCAAACAAGGTCACAATCACACTGTTATGTAACTCTTAATGTAAACACTGACAACACTATCCATGTTGATTTTAAAATTGCAGAAGCTGTAGAAATAGAGGTGTCATATTTACAACATCTGATGGATTGTGTGTATCCATTTTTGCTGGACAGTTTTCTCCTGAAGAGGATGAAAGAAAGAAGAGAAGAAGGGAAAGGAACAAAATTGCTGCAGCAAAGTGCCGAAACAAAAAGAAGGAAAAAACAGAATGTTTGCAAAAAGTAAGTGACTGGCTAGAATTTTTCTTAATCTGTCATCCTACCAGGATCCAAACAGGTAGCATGGAGTTCTCTCATAGTAAGAAATACAGAAAGATGTCACCCAAAACTCTTCAAACCCTTCAAAACATTGGTTATAAAAAATGAACATGCTATATATTAAAACAAAACCTGGTTAAAACTGGAAAAAAAAGTGAAAGCATGGTAGGAGTGAAAAGAGTTTACTGTTTCAGTGACTGATCTTGTCAATGGGAATAACATTAATTTGAATGTGTACACTAAACACAAAAAGAAGTAAAATCTCATTTCATAAAATATTCGCTATGGACAGCCTGCAAACACCACCAAGTAATTTCGGACTTACTTATGAAATGAGTGATATGGTAGCTGACTCCTGAGTTCTCTATCCCAGGACCCCAGTTTTGTCTTCACCTCCTGTGCAGTGATATACGACTTTATTATAGCAACATTGAACTGTACCTGGATATAGAGGCCTCTATATTCCTATATCTAGAGCTAGGGAAAAAAAGCTATGTTCTTACTTGCTTAGCTCACCATGGTTTTACAGATATGCAACAAGATGTTCAAGGGAATTAAGAAGCAGCATAGATAATTTTGGGTCAATTTTTGACCCAAAAAGCTCAGAATAATTTTGCAGAAGATAGCGATAATGCTTAAGGTATCTGTCCCTGTAAGTGAACAGAAGTCTGAATTTGGCTTTCCAACTTCCATTACACTTTTCTAAAGGCCAAAGAAGGTAACTGCCAAATTTAGACTGTTACTGACTGGAGAATGTATAGTTTCATCATTACAGCACACTAAGAACATGAGATTTCTTTCTCTGCTAGCCATATGTTTTGCCACCAATAAAAGACCACAACTACTAGCTAAATATTGCAACTAACTATTTGAACTACTCAGTATAATAGTTGTGTGTGTCCTTTGTGACTAGGAATCAGAAAAACTGGAAACTATCAATGCGGAATTAAAAGCCCAGATCGAAGAGCTGAAGAATGAGAAGCAGCATTTGATATACATGCTAAATCTTCACAGGCCTACTTGTATAGTTCGTGCACAAAACGGAAGGACACCTGAAGATGAAAGAAATCTTTTTATTCAACAGATCAAAGAAGGCACATTACAAGGTTAAGTGATATGGCAAACATGGAAATATTTATAGTGTTTTTAACAACTACCAGAATCCATGGAGGATCTGACATAATGTGTAGGATTCTATTAGTCAAGAGCCTTTAGGAAGGGCAGGTTGCTTTCTTAAGTGGAAAGAATCATTTTGGCTTGACAGCAATTCTTCCCCTTGGAAGATCTGGTCTCAATCAAATTGAAGAGCCTTCTGCCTCAAATATAGGTTTTTGCACCTGTCATACTCGCTATTCCTAGGAGCTACAGACAACAGCTTCAGAAGTTTTAGCTCTCTGCTAGTATACAGTATCTGCACTCACGACGTTTGTGCTAGAACACTATGACTTCCAGTGATGCACATGGTACAGACAGCTGTGCTGGATGGACACTACTTTTCCTTGTTGCTGATAGGGAAAGAAGACTGAGTATTTTTGAAGTTTCCAGGAGGATGGTTTCTGGCAGAATGTACTGATGCATAATGTTGCATTTTAACCTAACATACACACACACACACACACAAAACCCCTTTAGTTCCAAGTAAGCTTTGTCAGTTTTCTCACAACACTTGTGTGGGTTTTTTCTATGACTCATCTCAGTGACTGAAATTGAAGAGCCTTGTAGGTGTGACAAAGAAATGTTTCTTGCAAAACATCTATGTGGCCTAGCCTGTATTTTATGAGTTATCACCTCACCTACTATCCTTTGGGGACTACAATTTTTCTTTGATGGCTAAAGAGCAGCTTGTACTATCATTTAGTGACTTGGTGAATTGAACCCACTGGAAAGAGGAAACTAACTATCGAGGAGTGTTGATAGAGGTTTTGCTGAAATGAAGAACTGCAGGACTGAATCCCAGGCTCGTGAACCTTGAAAAGGTTTTTTTTTAAAGAAATTTATTTAGAATCTAATCCTACAAGCCTTAATTCATACTATTAACCCTCATTCACAGAAGAGGTTCCATGGATTTCAGAGCTCATGCAGATAGCTCTTACAGGCATAAGAGCTTGTCAAAGCTTTTTCCATCCTGGCCAAGATTACTTCCTTTTGCCAGGTGATTCAGAGGGAAAAATTATGATTGCAGCTACTTTTATTTTACATTTGAGTGGCAACTACAGTCAATCAAAAATGTTACTTAGAATCTAAAGGAGGCAGGAGTTTTGATGTAGTGAATAATTGTTTTTATTTTTTATTAAATACTAACCTTGGATGTTTTTGAACTGGTAGAAGAGCTGCTGGACAAAACAGTTGGAGTTATGAGTGTTTAAATTCTGATGTTTCTGTGAAATTCTCAGATTGTTTATTTCTATAAAATATATCCTTACAACTTTTTGTAAAAGAAAATATTATCCTTATTTATCACTAATATCATAATGAGTAGAGTTAATAAATACTGTGAGCAAGAGAAAACTGAAAACACAAGTGTTGTGCTGTCTTTTTACCTTTGGTGTTTAATATTATATATTCCTAAACTTCATCGGTTGTATTTGAGACACTGCTACTTAGAACACTTATCCTTCATCTTTTTTGAAGATGAGGCACTGAGTATCTTGAATGATTGGGTGCAGATGTTATACCTTCCAAAATTCTGTATCTCCATCAGTGATGTCTAACCATTCGATGTCACAACTTAAACAAAGCAGAATACAAACGGAGCTTACTGTACATAATATTTTACACCAGTTATGCAGTGTTGAAATTGTGTGTTTGTTCTAAAGGCTAAACTTAAAGATACCTCAGCCATAAGCTTCTTACGCTGCAAATTTCTCATGAGTCTATCACATATTGTACCTGATCCTTATATGATCATTATATTCTGCAACAGAACTTCTTAGTACGTGTTCCTAAGATCTGGATATATTGTAATGTCCTATATCACATTTTAAAGATATGTACTTCATGTATCTGAAAAGTGAATGTATTACAAAGATGACATACTAGGTCCAATTCTGTCCTAAGAATCCATTATCTTTCTGTGTACTGGAAGGAGGTTCCATTGACTTCCATTGACAAGTGAGAATTTTATTCACATCCTGTAGGCAGAGTTTGGAAACTGTGTGGCAACTTCTCTGGCTTAAAGGGTGAGTTCTATGTGTAATTGGGCCAGCTGTTTATCAGACAACAGGTGTACATGAAGTGTGTTACAATAAACTTGTCAAACAATGTTCATTGTTATTTGACTTCTGTAATGTGGAAATACAAACCCAAGGCATCATCCCGGTATCGTACACCTTGGCTTTGTCTTTGTGCATCAAATACCAGCAGACGAAATTTATGAAGTGTTACCACAGAGACTAGAAAACAGCGACAGAATTCACGTGTCTCCCTTAGGGAATTTGTATGGTTGCTTTTAACCATATCACTGGTGACGCAGGCGTCACGCTTTTGTTGCTTGATCTTATTTACTCGGCATGCCAAATGTTCATATGGTACCACTACTATTGTCAGAAGATAATCTATTTTTATTTCTTTATATGTGCAGTCATAGCTGCTTTGTATTTGCTTTTGTATGTGTGTGTGTGTCTGTGTGTGTGCGCGTGCTCCTGCACGCTACTCTGGAAATGATGGTATTCAAGGACACTTGACTGTGCCCAGGAAAAGAGTGTTTGAAGAGCTAGACAGGAATGGTATGTTGCATGAGTTTTCTTAAGAGTGTACCTTATTCAGGAGAACCCTTAAAATGCATTAAAAGCAGTTTGTTTTCTATTCTTAAGTTTGTTTTGATACTTTAATAAAAAAGAGTTAATATATATTTATTCATGTGTCATTTAATTCATTCTAAGTTTCAAGGTCCAGGAGCAACTTCATTTTCTTAAAACAACACCAAGATATTAAAAAGCAAGCACATTTTATATGTTTGCAACAATAAGTGTTTTGTAAAGTGAAACTGGTACTGTTTGCTGCTTTTCAAGGTATAAACAAAATTTTGTTATTACAAGGCTGATCATGAATTCCAGGCTAATTCCTTATTTGTGGCCTAGGGCTTAGATTAAAGGACTGGAAATAAGAACTCCTAAACCTTTCCTAACCTTGCAACCAACCAGATGATAGTCATTTCAACTTTCTGATTACCTAATGAGTTTAATGCTTTTGCTGCTTTGAAGCTTTAATATTTATAGATTGCTTTCTCTGGTTACATGGAAGATACTAAAGTAGTACGGCATGATTAGGGCTTTGTTGTTTTTCCTCTGTGTTGGTGTGTGTGGGGAGAAACATGAGGAAAGATGAACAAAATGTTCTCTCCTGCTTTTCCAAAACTAAGTATCTACACACCCAGACAGAAGTCCCTGTGTTTTGACAGCCGGTGATGTGGACAAAAACTTTTGGCTTCAGTCTGTTGCAAGCAGTTATAACTTGTAATACAGAGGCCAGGAGCTCCAGGGACCAGGAAATCCATTGCACTATTGCAAAATCCAGCTAAAAATATCATCTGGAGGGAAGATCTAGGCTACTATCAGTTTGGCAATGTTCAGTGCTTACTTTCCTTATTGGTACATCCGTTTACAGATGTGCAGTCCTCATACGTATATTCACCTTTTCATTCATTCTCCTAAGGCTGCTATCAAATTTTGCTTTTGAATACTCAGTTCACTTCTAAATTAGTAAATTTAAAAATCTTCTCCTGGCCTGTTTTAGAAAACCTCATCAACAAAATTAGGGCTATGAATTCCTGAACTGATATATTATAAAATTTTCCTTGAATAGTATGAGTTGAAACCATGGAATCACCATTGATCTCTATGACATATTCCTAATAACATAATTGGTATTCCTTGAGCAAAGTAATACGTCATGTCTTCTCCTTAGGTCTTGTTGTAGATGGTAAATCTGTGTGTGTACAGGCCCATGAGGATCTTGGGGCATGCTGGACTTTACCCTGTACCTTGATAAGAAGCACCTTCTACTCTTTTTCCAGCTTTTTCCCTGAGGTGAATGAATAAATAGCAGTATTGAAGATTGGTAGAGACAATGATTTATACTAAGCTGAAAATGTTTAATGAAACTGAATGGCAACAAACTTAATTTACAATAACTTTTCTACCTGAGACCATTAGAATTTGAAGTTGTTGATTAAAGGGATAGTTTTAAAAATCACTGGTTCCTGGTTTTGCAAAAGAAACTGGGTGATTTATGGGTAATGAAAAGAGTACAACTGTTTGCTAGTAGCAATAGAGTTTTGAAAACAAAATCTAACTCATGTTAAAAAATTCTCAAATCCAGAATGATGACTGTGTCTCACATCCATTTTTCTTGGTGGTTTTGGTTTCCCTGCCTCCTCCCCCTCAGCGGAGTACTGGTCTGGGTACAAGTCTCATTCACCCTGGCCATTGCCAAATTTCAATGTTTGCCCAGTGCCCCCAGCTGGAGACCCTGAGAATCACCCCGGGATTAAAATGTGTGATAATATTAATTTACCTAATTACTTAGTAACATTCTTCATCAGTTTGTAATGACACCAGTATAGTATTTTCATTTCTATAATAGATGCCATTCTTTTTTAAGTGTAGTTAAGATACTGAGTGACAATATTTTTTAAAAATCCTGTTATTTAAAATTCATTTCCTTAATGGACACTCTGAGTCAGAACCCCTGGTTCTAGAGATAAAAATAGTTATTTGCTAATTTTCAGTGCTATTAGGTCTTCAAAACCATTACAATTTAAAAGCGAATACACTGGAATCTATTCTTGAGACAGCAGTAGTTCTGCCTGCATATCTTTACTACTGCTAACAGTGACGCATGAAACAAACAAAAAAACCCCAACCTAATGATTTTATGACCCCAAACTAAGTGTACAAGAGCTGACACTCAGAAAAAGATTACTAGACTTCTGAAATGAACAAACAGAAAATGTAAATAATCTGAGAGTTGAAGCTGGAATAACTTTCTTCTCCTTCTTTTTTTGAGAATTTAGTATCATCGTATTTCTGGACTCTGTCAAAATAATTTGTGCACCACCGTGCCCACTTAGTAGGAATGCCCACACAGCAAATAGCAGTGTGGAATAGCAGTATTTTTATATAAGCTAGCTTGGTAGTGGGAACATCCCAGCGATGACAGCAAGAATCTCGGCACAGGCTAATTGATGCCACTGAGAGGACAAACTCTCCGTGCAGCCAGAGGACAGGCTGCTACTGGCATCTGAGGTAGCTCCTTTAAAGCCAACTTGGGTATCGTGCAGTTCCTCAGGTTAGGACATGTCACGTAGCTGCCTGCATTCCCTACTAAACAGCCCCACCAGTTCACACCAAAGGTCCACCCAGCCCAGTTTTCTTTCTACACCAGTGATCAAAAGCAGCTGTCCAAGGAAGAATAAAACAGGGCAAGTACGCTTCCCTGGGTGCTTTCCCACACTCCAACTATTTTCAGCTAGTGAGTCACACAAGCTTACCACGAATCTTTTAGGTAGTACCCTTCCATAAATCTTTCTGTCAAGTATTTGACCAGTTTCTCATCCACAGTACCAGCATCTGCAGTAACTTTTGGTGGCAAGTTCCTTAGGACCGTCATCATTTAGAAGAAGAAAACCATTCCTTTTTTTTTTTTTTTTTTTTACTCTATTCCCTTTTACTCGATTTGACAGGTCCTCATTCCTGAATTGGAAGAGTGAACACTTACCCAACCTCTCTGTGCCACATGATTTTATACTTTGCTGTATTGTTTCTTTTTCAGGAGAAAGAGCCCCACCATATCCAGCCATCTTTTTTTTTTTTTTTTGGTAGCCATTTTACATCCTTAATTATTCCTGTGAACTTTTTCTGTGAAAATTGTGACTTATTAAGTAGTTTAAGATAAAGTGACCGCAAGTAGACATAGTATTCAAAGTGAGTTATAGGCACGTATTAATACAGGGGCATCTTGATGTTCCCTGTCCCTTTCCCAATAACTCCAGCACTTAGGTTTGCTCTTTGGTGACTGCCAAGCATGAAGCCTGACAGAATGTCACTGTCTGCTGTAATCCCAAAATCTCCTTCCTGAGTAGCAATGGTAAACTAGAGCCCAACATTTTATATATGATGCCAGGATTGATATGCACTACCTTGTGTTTACTTGCATTGAATTTTATCTGCCATTTTACTTTCCAAACTTTAAATATAGATATTTATAAATACATGTAAATATACTCTTCCTGCCAATCTTCTGAAACTGCCTTTCTCCTGCCTATCCTTAGTAATTTTGTACCATCATCAACATTCTTGCTGCACTACTCGCCTTCTTACCAGATCATTTATGAAGATGTTGAGCTGTGCAGGTCCCAGTAAATGTTCCCATGGAATTCCAGTGAATGACCTACACCTGCTAGGAGAGTTCATCACTTACTCCTACTCTCTTTTCTACCCAAGTCTTTATACATGTATATGCCTTTTCCCTATTCATAGCTATTCAGTTTCTTTAAAAAAAATTTGGTGAG